GGGGACGCGTGTCTCACTGGGAGACAAGGAGAATGAGAGGATAGATTGGTCGTTCTAAAAAAAGATGGATTTCGTATAGCGAACTTAAATATATATATATATTTTTTTTATATATAACTTATGTACAGTGGCGAGGGAGAGATGGGAACAATAGAGAGACAAGAACAAGAGAGAGTGAGGGGGAAAGCTAGCCCAGGGAGGGCATGTCCCTGGTCCCCTGTGGTGCCTTCTTGGGACGCCTGCAGATCCGTATCCTCTGCGGTAGGGCCTCAATCCGGACGATGCAGGGCTTCGTCCGTCTCGGAGCGAGGGTAGCTTTGGGGGCCTTCGGTCCGGGCGGGGGCTTCGTCGCTTGTTTAGGCGCCTGGGCTGGAGGTGCCGTCGCCAATGCCGCCACCGGTGGCCTGGGTGCCGGGGTGATGGGCCTCCGTGGGGCCCAAGTCCTGATCGGGCAGGGGTCAGGGAGGCTCGGGCAGGACGGGCGGTTTGACCGTGCTGCTGGGGGTGATCCCTTGACTCCTGCAGGGGGTTGGGGCAGGGTGGCTCTTACCCGGGGATGCGGATAAGGGGGAGGAGGCGGGAGCGATGGGTTGGGAGGCTCTAGAGGCCTGTCAAAGACCCTGGGGTCGAAGACCCCAGGGGTGGAGTACGCTCTCGCTATGCGTCTGAGCTGGACCTTGCGTCCAGCTCGTCGCGACCTGCCCATGTCTGGGCGTGCCTGCGGGAAGCATCGTGAATTAGCGGGGTTAAAAAGCGGGGGAAGCAATACATGCTGTTAGTGGTGAGGGTGATTAATGCTAACTTATTATTAATATTAATCCCTTGAATAGGCACTCAGAGAACGGTATTGGTTTCAAAATCGCGGGGGATGAAGCGAAGTTGAGACTTCAGATGCTGTCTTTTTGTTGTAGAGTGCTCAGATGGATTTCTCGATTATGATAATCGATTCATTGCCGTCATCATTGCACTCTCGGCAACTTCTGATTCATTTTATTGTAGTAGGGAGACCCGAGAGTGAGTACTTTGACTGCGGTTAACGTTAATCTGCAAATGGAACGCGTAAGTGGCAAATCAAAAGTAATTACGTAACCACTTCATTGCACCAAACGAAATAACTAAAGTTCATACTGATTAGCACGTAAGATCGGTGAATTTCGCTGTGTGCCCATCTCAGCGCGAGATTCAGTCTGTTCGAGGGGACTCTGTGAAATTGCCCCTGGACGACTGGGAACTGAGGTTGGTC